ATTAAGGAATTAATATAATTATTGATATTAATAATATAGGAATGGAGAAGAGAATGAAGTGATCATAAGTCTGATTTTCGGAACAATATGAACTAGTATTTTGTGAAATAAGTGGAGATTTGCATCAGATGTGCTAAATCTAGTATTTTGAAAAAATTTTATGACATCGTCAGTATAATAATCTTCAAAATTTGCTAATATAACGATACAAGTTCATTGTATTATTTGAGTGGTGTGTGAAGATGTTAATATTTATATATATATGCATATGTACATAGATTATATTATTTAAATTACTTTTATATAATTTAACTAGAAGATAATGAAATTGAACAAGAAATTAGAACTTGAAAATATAATAGTGAATCCTTGTTCAATTATGAAAATTCAAGAGCACACACAAAAGAAGAAAAAGAAAATATATATTTTTGTCACGTGCGATCTGTGGATCTATAAATGAAAATTTATATAAAAGCTGTGTATTTTAAAATTTTAAAAATTTAAAAACGCGAAAAATTTTTTTAAAGCGCGTTTATTTGGTACAGTTTTGAAAAAGTTTTTATTAATAACCAGAAATTAATTTTTTCATACTGATGCCTTTTCTTTTTTTACAATAGCCCAAACATCAACATAACAAACATGAAATCATGTCTTTTACATCGAAAATGTATTAATATACGTTTTCTGTATATTTTGCCTTTTTTTTGTATGGAATATTAACATGTATTCCATACAAAAAAGCGGAATATATGGAGAAACTATACGTTTTCTGAAAAAAAAATTTATAGAAATGGTTCAACATAACATTTGATGATTATTGGATATTCGAAGCTCAAATATTCAAAACACTACATTTATTCTCATCTTCCTTATGTACTAAAGGCTAATCTGACTCATCAATCTGTATTGCATCCCTCGATGATATGATGATATGATTAAATTTCAGGGGGGGGACGATTAGCTCTGAAGTTTATCGAATTGCATTATTATCAAGGAGGCTGTTAAGGCCTCTTACTTGTCCAAAGCCTTCCGACATGTGGTGGCCCTCACCTGTGCAAAAAATTACACAGTTATGAGCGTGTTAAGAGCACCCAACTTCTATGTTTGTGAAAGGAAAATTTATCAAATCTGAAACCTATGATCAGGGTTGGTGTTGGCCATGTATGTTATCCTGTACCTGTAGTTTCGAATTCATCACCATTTTATACACTTCACTCGAGCAACTCTGGCTCCACCATCTCTAAATCATCAATTCAAAATGATATCAACCACTTCAACCAAATCATCGCCAATTCAGCCACCATCATCAAGAACACCAAGTCAATGCACCTTGAACATGTCAATGCCAACCCTGCTTAATATAAATATTTAGATTTGTTTTTTAACAAGCTTTACAACGGCTTGTAATTTTATAATTGGGAAAGAAAATAAGTGTTATTTATTTTTGTGAGCCCGGAGATCTGGGTAGATACACATTATGTGACCTTTTTCAAGATTGGTCCCTTAAAATTTTTCATGCATGGTCTTGTATTATCATTACTTGGCGATGCAATTATTTGTTATGTCAAATGCATTCATAATCATATTGGATGCTGTTACTAAATAGTGATGTCAATCACTATTTCTCCAACATCAATATTTCCATAACTTTGATAACTAGTGTTGGAATCCATCAGTGATTTCACAAAATTTTTTTAAAGTTAATTTTTAGGAACAATATACTGAACATGAACAAGATTCTTTTCCCTGGTGATGGTAATTTTTTAGTAACTTTTTTTTATTAAGATAAATATAATTATTAAGCAAAAATAAAACTAAATTTTACATTTCGACTTGGTTCTTCATCTTCAATATGCATCAGTAAATCCTCAATTTTTTCAGCTTTATCAAACTCGCCATCAGCTTTTTCTGTAGAAAAATCAGATAATAAAAAAGTCAAGTGGAAGTTAAATGATATTTTTTATTTGGAAAAAATTGAACCTCCTATACATTTATCTTATGTTTTTTTAATTTTGTTATACTTGAATTGGTTGATTCACTATATATATTAATTTAACTTTTCTTACACTTCTTACAGATTAATTGATCTTTGGATTTTATTTTTTACTCTTTGATTCATTTATTAAATCTTTTTTATTTTAAATATGTTGTGTATATTTTTGAATGCACTAGTTAATATTTTGAGTCAATTAATATTATAATATTATTAAAATTTACAATTGATTTAGTAAAATATAAAAAATGACACTTATTATTTGAAAATATTATTGTTATGTCCAATTGGACAAAATTTCCAAACACTGGTGATAACAGCTCTCACCTATTCACTTAACATAGACGAAAAAAAATAATTTACGGTTTATGTATAGTGATTTTGATCATGAATAATGACAAAAGTCATATACATATTAAACAACATTCGAATAAAATGAATTACGAACAATAGCTTCTTACTGACGCACGACCCCAGAAACATGAAATGGATACTTTTACATATGTAATCTGCCACTAAATTAAATCTTTTTGATATACCACAGAGGTCTTCACAATGTTTTTCTATCCATATCTTCTTTCAAAAAGACATTATATATACTTGGTACAAAATCTCGAACACATCAACACGATTATTATCATCATCTATTTTAACAACTTTGTGGCCACCAGAAAATTATTGCTAATGGTAATGATTGTTCAAGCCACTTCAGATCTACTATGTCAAGTTTGATTGCATGAGAAGGAGAGGGAAGACATAATTAATTATCATTTAGTCAAAAAATCTGATTGACCATTTGCAGTAAAAAAACATACTTTAATTTTGACATCAAAAGAAAAAGGACCCATAAACGAATATACATCATGGAATAGATGTTAGATGATCTATGAATCCCAAACACTTGGATTCTATTTCATTTAACCGAAAAACCACCTCGCCAGAGACTGTTTCGTTGGTTTTTTTGGTGATTTTTACCAATCTGATCATGAATAGAATCGATGACATTTTTGATGATGATAAAAAAATTTGCAGGTAATAAAATAATTGTTGTCATTTGCGATACTATTTATAACTTGAAGTAGATTTACAAACAGCATACACACGCGATCAACCAAATCTGACTAGCTTTAATCACGTAAACACTTTATTCTAACACTTTGGTTATAAAACAACACAATAACAAAACGGATTATTATTATTATTATTATTATTATTATTATTATTATTATTATTAATTTATCGCATATTAATTTTCAAAGATATAGACGCCAAATTTATGCAAAAAGATAATTAACGGTTGTAATTTTATGGTAAAAACCTTCAGATAACATTGAAAAGATAATATGCTCAAGAACCGATTAAAGCAGAGCAAAAAATTATTCGTAGCTCGAACTGTACATTATCTGCTACCTTTTCGCATAAACTTGATGCCAGTGTTTTTGAGAATAGATGAATATTTTCTATGTAAATTGCTGGATCGAACATTTGGATTCGTTTGAATCAGGAATAGTAATTTTGGGATAGAATAGTTCGTAACATACGAACCATACGAACCATCAAATATTCGAATATTCGAATCAAGCGTACCATTAAAATTATTCAAAGGTTCGTTGCTTTTTTAGTAAAAATTTTCTTTGTTTTATTAATTTAGGACGACCAATTCGTTTTTTTTTTTCATAAATATAAAGGTATTTTCCAGACATACCGTAGGTGGACACATTGTTTTTATAAAGGCCGATGATTTCTCCACATTGAAAGTGGCATTTCGAAAAAACTTTTTCGAAGATTTGTTCAAAAAATTATTAAAAATTATGCTTGTTTACAAAAAAATTTTAAAATGACAATTTGTCAAAGAAATTTCGGTCAAAGCTTAATATGTTAAAGAAATAAAATTTTGTATGCATGTAATTTGAGAACCTAAGCTACAAGATAATATCATTTATTATGCGTGTTTTTGTGCAATGATTGTTTAAAAATGCACGCGACTTTTGCCATGTAGTGTATTTCTGTATTTGGTTCTAATGATATAGTTGGATGGAATAGTTAAAATAGTTTGAATCAAAACTTTTAATGATTATGGTTCAAACCGGTTCATACGTAACTTTACAATATAGCCAATAAATAAACATAATAAACATATGGTTTGATTTTCTTAGAACGCCGCGATTGATTATGTAAATGCATATTTCTGAAAACTCAATTAATATGGGAAAATGAAAAACTCGAAAAAGTAGTCATTAACTTTTGAAACTTTATTATTAAAGTAAATAATGTTTAAAGAATATCCTTTTATATTGAAAGAGGTTCCCTGTGTAAAGTTACGACATCAGAAAACAATCGAATATTCTACGCAAATTCTCTGTTTTTGTCAATAATCCATAGAAATTACACAAGAGCGTATATTTTACACAAATTATGATTTATGCAGATTATACGTATATTGTTGTTGATTTTACTGTTTTCCGGATGGAATATTCTAAAATATCACGTTTTTACTTCAAAGGTAAGATTTTCTTTTCAATTTTGCTTTAAATGTCTTAACAATTGGTGAGAAAAGATGCAAGCTTTCATACTGATATTGTTTTATAGAAAGTATGATAATGTGTTCTATTAATTAGCTTAGAAAGTTTATAGAAAATATCAAAAAACAACAATTCAATTGTCGATTCAACGGACGGAAAAGATATCTTTTGCCCAAAAACAGATATTCAAATAAATTTAGTAATTTGACAATAATTTTTTTTGTCTCATAATATGCACATACATGCGTGCTTTATTTGGTAAAAATATAATAATAATAATATACATCAATGTTCTCTTTAGAAGTTCTTTTGTTTTGTTGAACTTCGATGACACTATAAGAAAACTTGACTTGGTTTTTTTTTTAATATAAATAATTGGGAGAATTCTATCAACAAACTATCATTGTTTTAAAAAAAAAAAAATGCACACAATCAATAATAATAATATTATTTTCTTGTTCCTGTTCTTATTCGTATTTGCAACAATGATCAATTCATTCCCGCATAATGATGTCAGAAAAAGAGCAGACGATGTTGGTAAATACACTCAATGTCCTGGCACCTTTCCCATTACTGTTATCGAAGATACATACACTCCAGCAATAATGGTACCCGACCAAAACATCACCGAACACATTATATGGGATAGCACCGTCGAAGTTTTGCCAACAACTATCTTTACTTTGACTGTCACCGACCTTAATGGCGCATTGAAATTTTCATATCAAGAGAATTTCTGTACAAGTCCGCATAAACCCCTTAATATAGAATGTCCAATTCCTGCAGGACACCTCGACTATAAAGCTCGATATGCAATCCCTAGTAGTCCTGACCAACCTAAGGCTCAAACTGTCGAGACTCTCGCAAAAATAACTCGTAAGTTATCTATGTTTATTTATTAATTTGCTCGGAAAATGGTTCTTCTAATATTTATTCTGTTATTTTATTATTTAGTTACCAGCCTGGATGGAACAAATTTAATGTGTAAAGAAGGCAAAACCTCTATAGCATTTCCTTAATCATATATTTTATATTTTTCATGTGGTTTTTTTTTTATTAAATATTTAAATTACAAATGTCAAAGGCAAACATTTGAAATGTTATAAAACTTATCGGTCAATATTTCTGAAATGATTGGTCCATGTGGGCGGATTTGATGATAATAATAATAATAATAAATGAAAATTGACCGGTAAATGTGATAATTGAGGTCATATAGATTTTAAAAGGTCCGAGATAATTTTTCTGCATATATTTATCAACGATGTAGATAGGTTGTACCTAAAAGAGTCTATTAATATATGGAATCTCAGTGACAGCAATAGACGAATAAACCAAGATTTATTTTATTGCATTCAATATTAGATTAATTGATGAAAATCTCGAGAACTCTGAAAATAAAAAATTTTAAATATTAATATTGTTGAAAATTAATGAATAAGTTGATCGTTGATAAACTTGTATTTGATGAAAGGAAGACAATTTTATTTGTTTTCCTTTATAATTTTCTAATTTAAAGAAATCTATTACTACTATATTAAGATAATGATTAATGCAGTTACTCAATCGAGAAAATAAAATTTAATTCAAAGCAAAAAAAAGAAGGTTTGGCCGTTGTGTTATCATGAAGGAGTAAGTCACCACAATAGAACCAGTCAAAATGGATGAATTATTAAAAGGATCTTTTTTATCCTTAATGAACAAATAGTTGATATTTAAATAGATTGAAAATATCAATGAAAATGATTTAGGCTGGTCAGTGAATTGTGAAATTTTATTGTTATATTATTTATAACAAGCTTTTTTTTTAATTCTCTAATAAAATTCTACAACATAAATATAGATATGAGTAAAGAACCCTGGTGCTAATGTCAACTACTAAAATGAAGAGTTTTATTAAAAAAATTACGAAATAAAGTTATCAAATTGACTTATATGAAAAAATATATACCGTTATTTCGTTATTGTGAAATAATCGTTTAAGCTTGTCTGAGTCGGCATGTCGTTGTTATCGTCGTCGTCGTCATCATCAAAGTTATCTTTAAAATCAATGGTGAAGACTTTTAATCGTGACTGTTTTGTCCCAATAAATGTATATAAAATCACGTCATCTTGTTTCTAACTATGTTTCTGTTAGTTGTCAGCTACTAACTGATATCCCGGTTATCCTGCTTTTCTAACTAAGATAAAATAAAGAAATGAAATGTATACAACCATACTACTTGAGGCGTCTCTATAACCAACATAATGAAATCAAAGGTTTATTAAAGGTTGGCCAAACCATTAATCATCAGAAAGGGTCATGAATCAATCATACCGACTTTATTAATTAATTAATTACAATCAAAGACTGTTTTTATGTAAAGGTGTTATTGAATGTGCGTTATTAAAAATTGAATTATCCAAAGATCAATTATTAAGAAAAATTTTTTTTTCTTTACACTGATATTTATACTTCCCAAAGTATTACAAATCAGATGACCTTTATCCAATAAAATAAAATAGAATGTTTAATGGTGATTACTGATGCTAATGCCAATTGATTGATAATAATCGGGACCCCAATATGGACCTCAATTTACTATCTTACACCCGTTCTTTCATTTTGATTGGACCAAAAAAGGGTGATAAAACTCCGAAGAAAATTTAAGCAAAAAAAAAGGCATTTTCGTAAAAAAGTATATTACACGAAATTTAATTAGTCTCAATTTTTTAACATTTTTGAAATGTTATAAAAATGATTTTGCTTTAATACTTAAAGGTGTTCAATGTACAAATTCAAAATTTTCTTTAATTAAAAAAAGGAAATAGGGATAAAACTTCTCGGATGACCTTCTGAAAGTAACTCTACCTTTCTTAAAGAATATTAAATATCAAGAAGGAATGCTTCGTCATGATTCGTTGGGAACTTGATGAATGGACTTTAAAACATTAAATGGCTTTAGAATTTCGCATACTTTGAATTCTCTTTTCTCTTCATGTTTGTTATCCACATAATAATAACAAATATACATATAAAAAAAACTATTTTTCTAGACAGTGCTGAAATAAAGGATTAGTCTTCATACTAATTTCGTGTGAATCTTTTTTTCTATTCTTTGTTTATACATATACGTAGTAAGAAAGATATTGAATGGTGAGTAGCTTGGAAGGCGAATTCTCAAGCATAACAAGGTATAGTTTAGAGAGATTGACTTGGAAGGAGAACTCCCAAATATAGTTATAGCAAGGGAATAGACAGTAACAAGGAATTGTAAAGATATATTAAGTATCGTATGTTATTGGAACTTACATTTAACTCAAACACGATCTCACAATATATAATCCTTCCCCTTTCTCAAAATTCTTATAATATATATGTATGCTTTATTTTTTTTTTTGCAAGATTCAACATTGTTCCTTCATTCTAGATCTTTAAACCAATATGTTGACAATATAAAATTAATATATGTATGGGTATGAACACATGTACTATCCTACGATTTTTTTTTTTTGCGGCTAAATTCACAAATCTCTGTCTTCATCATCATCCACAAATCCAGAACCATCATCATAAGTATCATTGTATGGTGATTTTCTTGTTAATTTTGTTCTTGTATCCCTGTCACATAATTTATGATATTTTCTTTTACGGGTTCTATTGATTTTAAGTGCATTAGATGATTTTCGAGCTTTTTGTCTTTTTTTTTTGTTGCTCCTTATATTCTTTCGTTAATCTTTCAATTGTTGAAAAGTCAATATATCGGGTTTTCATTTGCTTTATCCATCTTTTATGTGTTAAGCCGTGTAAATTGTTAGGTGTGAAAGAATAATAATGACTTGAGATTTTCGATCGAAACTCAAGAGCTTTTGTTTCTTTATGTGCAATTGCTATATATCTTGGTCTTCCAAGTTCATAAGAATTTAATGAATATGATTCTTTTCCAATATGAAGTGTTTTTGATCCATCAGACCATTTTACCAATTTTGTATTTGTTTCTTTCTCAATGATCTAAATATTTTGATTGAAACAATTATAAAATAAAATAATAATTATAATAATATTAATTCTTAAAAAAAATTTTTTACCTCATTCTCACCATCTTCTCTTTTTCTCTTGTTATAACGCCATCTAATCGAGCTTGCTGTTGCAAATCTGACACCCTTACAATAATTTGACTCATTTTCTCCATAATATGTCTTGGGATCAAAATTTGTATATGATTGAGTAAAAAATCTTGGCAATTTTATTAAATCAAGCTTATTAAAAAAAAACTCTAGTTAGGAACTAATAATTGGGGCCCATAGATTCAATACAATAATATATATAAAGTATCTCTCTTTACCTTATCGGTTTTAGTGTGAGGAAATGCATTGAATATTTGTATATCTGCTACTTTAGAATGGAGGTTTTCAGCCCTTCTACAGCAGCAAGAACAGGAATAAAAAGTGTGATGTTTGTTAAATAAGATAAAATGGAACATATTTAAACAACTAATAATTATTACTTTTCTTCTGAGGCATCTTCACTACTTCCACCTGTTCCAAATAAATCTTCTGCCTCAAAGTCATATTTATCCTCTGATGTGTTATTGTCCTCCATATAGGTAGATGTAAAAATTATTGAATATCTTGATTTTTATTATTATTATTATAATTTATATAAACAAAATCAGGATTATTATTTTCGAGTAAATATTATTTTAAAGATGTGCTTAAACTGAATGATTGGATAATATTAATTTTTTATTACATATTCTTTTTTTAATATGTATTACAAATTCTCTCAAAGTGACGACGACATATTAATATAATGATCTCAAACTTCTATATAATCATGACATCACGGTCCGCGCCATTTATCGATTTTAAATATTAAAAGATCTGAAATGTTGTACGAGAAACTTCGGTAAACAATAATAAAAATAAAAGAATAAGATTATCAGAAAATGATGGTTTTGAGAGCTATCCTAATTAAATATGCTTGCAGAAACCTCTAATTACTGCCGAAACTTTGCTGTTTGGCTTCTGGAGGGGTTTTCAGCTGGCAACCATAACTCTAGTTATTAAAAAGCAATGGCGAGTCATTATAGTTGATTTGATTGCTTTTTATTTACTTGGAGAAGCCAACAATGATTATAATTTGATTCAATTATAAATATATGTTTGCAACTCTGAGATATCTTCTTGCAGCAACTTTAATGTACAATGTTGATTGTTTTTTAAATAATTAATTTAGATTAGTTTAAAACTCTTTGTATAACAACTAATCTTGCAGTAAGTTGAATTCTTTTCATAACTTAGAAGATAATACTCCAAAAGTCGATTTAATATTATAGAAATCATTTCTAAACTAAAAAATAAATATATTTAGGTCATAAACGAAGAAACATCGGATATTGTTCTTGTTAATGATGTAAGGGCCTTTGAAATATAGCCAGCTCATAAAATCTCATTAAATTACACAATAGCTTAAAAACCTTCTTTGTAATACAAATTTCTTTATATAGGTCGTTTTAGATCATGATCACCGTCAATGGAGAAACATAAAGACTGCTTTTTATAAAGAGTCTTTATCCGAGGTAAAGTTCAGATTTAATTCTTTTAAATCAGTTAACGCACACATAGTCAAACCTAATTAAATTCTTGTCATAATGGATTTATAAAATGTTTGCTTGTGTCCTGTTCATCCACTGTGACTGTACTAACTTTAGAATTTTAATTCAGAATATCTTCAGAAGCATACCTCAAACTAATTCTAAGTTTTCTGATGAAGTTGAAGATGACAGATGAACAGATAAACAATTTAAAGATATGCTGGTTCAAAGATTATATTACCGTAAAGTCTGGAAAGATAGCACCCCTACTTTAAAACAATTGAGCGTCAGTATTAAAAAAATGTTACACATATATACCAGACTTTACGGTATTCAAAATAGGCAAATATCATAAACATTAGTGAAGAAAAATGCCATCTTATAAATCAAGAATTGTAAACTGAAAAATGATGCAAAAATAAATTCATTTTCAGCAGTTCACTTGATATAGATGGAATAAAAGATTGGATCAAACATAATCTTCAGGTAAACAAAACTAATCATTTTTTAATTCTTGCTTTTTTAGAGAAAAATTAAAAGAAACAGATTTATTTAATGATTTGATATTAAATAATCAATGCAAGTTTTGATGATCAGTTAGATAAATTTATGGACGAAAATATCAACAGATTTTGAGCTATTGAAATTATGTATTTATATCAAGTTGAAACAACAAATGTAAACCATGTTGGATGGCCAAATGGCCAAAAAACTACTTTGTCACGGCCAAATACCAACACTGCATTAATGATGATAATGATGATGATAAATTAATATTAAAATGTATCGAGTGACAAAAGTTGCATACTATGGAATTTGTACTTTCGTTATGCAAAGTCACATGAAATCATGCAACTTTGTAGATAGGAACTTGGTTTTTTTCAAAAATGTAAAAATTTTCTCTTTTCTTATATTAAAATAAATAGTTTACTCTTGAGGAGCTGTGGATTCCACGCAAAATACATATATGAATTTTATAAAAAAATTAATAAAATTGCAGAAAAATCGATCAACATCCCTAGTAACATGCATCTTCACATGTAACATTGAAAAAATTATCCAATATGTTTTTATCTTAAAGAACCAAGAAAATCATATTAATATAGTTGTTGATGTAATTCTTGGTAAATTCGTCGTATCTTAGAAAATTTACTTAAAATAGAAAAGAATACAAAACTTTCTATATCAATTACAATTTAACCCTTTACCCATAATTTCATATGACATAAAATTGCTTTGCCTGATTTGGATATGACTTGTAATAAAAATTTTCTGCTATACCCAAAATGGCCACACCACTAAAAGTCTATTGTTGCTTTCACAGCCCATGCGGACAATTTCCTAAAGGTTACACCTTTATCCCTCAGTTCGTAGGGATAGAGCCTCAGCTTGGGAAAACATGTAAGAGGGATATCCCCCTTATCAATCTTATCGATCTTTGGATATCGGTCGGATAATTCACTCAAGATCTATGGACCAGGTGATCAGATATATATCCGTGCATTTATATTTATCCCTCGCCAGGCTAAAAGCTGTAGCCCTCTGAACACAGTGATAAAAGTCAGACCTACCCGGAAATCGTCCGCATATGGTGCACTTTCAATTATAATAATCCGGAGTCCTTTACGCAACAGCCCTGGTTTAAATGCCCAACCCGCGTTGTGTAACTTTCAAAACAAACACAAATCTTTGTTTTGTTTATTGATTTCAAAAACGTCCACATCTGACCAAGGAAGACAACGTCAGACTCTATTACATTTCTGGAACCAGGGCGTGAGAACTTCACATTTTGACAAAGATTCCCTTTCTACCATCTATTTTAACATTGAAAAACGGGCAATATTTTGCACAAAGGTGGTGATGGTTGACAAAAGAAGATTACTGCGGATGCTGTACGTTTGATTGGACAAACTATCAGAAAACTATGGTTATAAAAAAAGCCATCCACAAGTTACCCTATGCTAACAACAGCCCACAAGGAGAAAGAATTGAATGGGCAAGGAAACACTTGAATGTTGACTGGTCACAGACGTTAATCACCAATGAATACAGCCTTTCAACTGTTTAGGAACACAGTGGGATGTTGGCATAAAGGTGTGAAACCAGTTCATCACATGCCAAAAGATGGAATCAAAATTTTAGCATGGGGTGGATTTTGTGTAAACGGAAAAATGGATCTTCTTTGCTTTAGTCAAATGATGTATGTAAATTTTTATGTGGAAATGCTTGGAAATCATATTCCAGATATATATGGACAATGATCCTAAACATACTAGTAGAATCACCCAATCATTTCTCAACGAAAATGTTCCTGAATTAATAATGGACTGGCCATCTAAACAATCTTAACCTTAACCCACCAAAACCAGGGCACACAGTGGATGCTCTAATTAATAGAGCCAAAAGAAACATTAACAAAATTGACACTGATGAATCATATTATGGTCCTAATAAAAAATCAAATCAGGCCTAGGGCGTCCAGGATTATGCTTTTGCATAAATTGCATCAATGATTATACATATATATTAAAATTAGCCAATCAATATAGGCCACAATTCAATTATAGAATGAAAAATGGCGGTTTCTGCATTAGAATATTTGAGGAAAAAAAAGTCATTATAATAATCATTTTTACATTGAAACTGGGAAATTGTATTGTTGTTTTTGTAACCATACTATAAATCATGAAAAAAAATCAATTATTGATAACCATATAGAATCAGTGAAACATAAAGCTGCTGAACAAAATAATGATCGTAACAAAATCAATATTGCAATTATTGAAGCATTTACTAAAGCTGATATTCCTGGATAAAATAGATAAATTAAAGTCTTTTTAATTCATATTGTAAGAATGGTAAGAAAATTTTCACATCAAAAAAAATTAAATTTAATTTAATTTGAATATTTTAATGTAAATTATCATTTATTTTTATTATTTCCTAGGAGGTTATATTGTAGGTTCAAATCAACTTTAGGAAAAATATTTGCCAATGAGTTATGAATTTGAAGTACAGAAATTAAAAAATCTAATAAAAAATAAAATGATTAGTATGAAACTACTGATAGTAGAAGTAGAAAAGTAGTTAACATTTTAAATTAGCTTCAACTGAATTTGTAAAAAAAGCTGATGCTGTAACAATATCACAAACAGTCATGAGTGTTTTAAATTCTATAACATATCATATAGCAATGTCATTTTTTTTATTTATGACAATGCAAGTTATATGAAATTTGCATATTCTTTTTTATCTCCATTTTTACCAAACATGTTTCATAATTTCTGTTTGGCACATATCTTTAGTTTAGTAGGTGAATGTTGGATCAATTTTAAAAAATTTGAGTTGGTAGATTTTTTTGTAGCAAATTTCCAATCATTATTTACTTATAGTAATTATAGGAAAAAATGATGGATTGAGCATCTTGAAAATAATAATATTTCATCACCATCATTGCCACCAGTACCAGTGAAGTCATGTTGGAACAGTTGATTTAACTTTTTAATATGGATTCAATCTTACTTTCATTTAATTGAATCAGAAATTGAATCAGAAATTGTAGCCAATGAAGAAATCAAATCCCTAAAAAATTTAAAAGAAATATTTGAAGATCCAAATAAAAAAATATATTTGGAAGTAACCATTAGCCTTATTAAATTTAATTCTTCAAGGTAAAAAAATATGGTTTGCATACTTTTCTTAATAACTTTTCTCTAACCAATAATGAATGATTTGGAATTCTTTAAAATTAGAAATAAACCAGTAGCTGCTACACATTCAGAAGTAACAAATACAATGCTTCTTTCAGGTTGCAACCAACCACCTTTAAACAATGAAGTTTTGGGGATAATTAATGATTATTATTTGGATTTGGATTATTATATTGCCATTTTTAAAGAAGCATTTAAATTATCATTGGACAAATTTAAAAAACATATTGAAAATCATCCAGTGGTTCCTTTGTTTAAAGCAATCAAATTTCAATTATCATGCCCTTCAACATAATTTGTCATCAAAGAGTTCAACAACTATAGTGATAATCTCATAATGAATAGGGAATTTATTGTAATTTACATGAGAAAATTTCGACTTAAATAATTATTGGAATGAAAAGATAAATATATTCCCAACATTAAGTCCAATCGCATTGAAATATATTTGCTTCCTGTGTCTGGTGTTGATGTTGAAAGATCTTTTTCAATTTATAAAAGTATATTAACTGATAAATGCACAGCTTTAAAAGAAGGTTCAATTAAAAAATTAAATTTCATGCATTTTAATTTTTCTGATGAATAATAAATAAAAATTTTAATATTAATTTTGGTCGGGATTATTATAAATTTGCCCAAAAATTATGAAAAAAAAAAGCATCAGGGCATAATTTGGAAGAAAAAAAAAGCATAATCCTGGACACCCTAATCAGACTTCATACTCTAAATAATTTTGATAAGGATGACGCCCCGTTGAAAACTTGTGGAACAAAATGTTGGAAGAAGATTATTGTTAATTAAAATGTTTTATGAAGGAGAAATGGGGATAATATTCTCAATATTATTTAATTAATTTATGAAAGGTCGTTGTGAAATTGATCATTGAAAAAAATGGCGAAGTAATATCATATTATAATGAAATATAGGTGATGATGTTTAAAAACGAGCTATTGCACAATCATTCGGGTTTTGTTGTTGTTCTACAATGTTCAATTTATTGTTCTAATTATTTTTGTTACAAATAGATTTTTGTTTGCCTTATAAAAAAATTTCTGAAAATAATTAAAAATAAATACGGCAGAATTGTAGAAATTATGCTATTGTAGAAATAAGAGTTCATCCAAGAAATTATAATTATATGAATATATATATATATATTAATATATATATATTCATTAAAACATAAATCCAAGTTTTTCTTCATAAAAACATAAAATTTTTAGAAAAGTTGTGTACTTTACGTTCCAGCATTTACTTGATATGCAAAGCTCTTCAAGGTTAGATAATTATATAAAGATACTAATTGGAATATTTGTGTGTATATCAGAACTGGCCGCATAATTCAAATGAGCTCTTGGCTGAACTGACAAGACAATTATTACTAAATTAGGATTTTAAACACCTTTACGCTGCAAACAATCATGCAAAAATTAATTGTTATAAATAATTTATCTATCATAGATAAAATGATGGCTTTGGTTTTTTTCTATGCTTTACAAAGAATTTTCTGAGGTTTTCTGATAGAAAAATCAGATTGTTGTTTTCTCATTGATTAAATGGATTCTGGCTTTCGGTGGAATTATAATCCCTTTTGATTGGTTAATTTATTTTCCATTTTCATAATAGTGCGGAAAATACGTCGCCGAAAAAAATAAAATATTAACAAATTTGTATGTAAATTTATTTAAGTGTAACCAATCGGAAAACCCTTAAAAATAAATGGATTTTTTGAGCAATCAAGTGATAAATAATAATAATATGATATAAAAATTTTTTTGTGCTTTGCATAAAATATAAAAAATAATTACTTAAATTGGAAAGAACTACTGTTTTAAATTTCGTACTATTGACGGACAGGGATTATATTATTCCCTCAAAAAAAAGAGTATATAAAGGCGTTGAATTTCGATAGCTTTTAAATCATAAAATCTTCATTATTTATAAAACATGATAAAATCAACAAAACAAATTCTTTTAACCCAATCATTATTATTAATTTTTTTAATCGTAAATTCATTATTGATCGACGCCAATGAAATAAATTATTTGAAACCATTGGAATTTGAACGCGACAATCCAAGAGTTAGGAATATCATTGCAGGATCATTTGTTGGGGGTAAATTATTATTAGAAAATAAAAAAAATAAAATTTTATTAAAAAAGTATTATTATTAATATATATATATATATCTCTTTTTTTAGGATGGAGTCATTTAAGACCATTACTAGAAATATCTAATATTTTAGTCAAACGTGGCTATAATGTCAGTAATAAATTATTTATCTATTTATTTATTTATAAAAAAATAACTTACATTTATTTATCTTATCAAAATATTTTCAGGTCACGTTAGTTTCACCGGAAGGTTATTCACCAAAGCCTGAATATGAAAAAATTAAACACTATTCTACAGGAAAAAAATTTGTTGCAAGCGAAATTGATGCTTTTAAAAAAACGTTTTACACTAGAACATCTGCCTTTGATATATTTCCCAGCATGATTAGGCTGCAAATTGATCGATATTCAGAACATTTGAAAGTTTATGAAAGAGTGTCCAATGAAGTGAACCCGGACTTGTTTTTGTGTGATTTTGGAAATAATGAAGTGTGTTTTGATGTGGCCTTGAAATTGGGCAAACCAGCGGTTTCTGTGACAAGCTTTCTACTCGGTTGGTAGAAAATAATGGTTATGTTAATTATATGAGTAATAATAATAATTTTATTAATAATATAAAATTTTTTTATTATAGCAATTCAGCAAGCACCCTATCTATCCGATCCGGTCCATGGTTGTAGTATAAATATGGAAAATGAATCATTTTTAGAAAGGTTAAAATGTTTCGTATTCCCAAAAATCAAAATGTATCAAGCATATAAAACTATCTCTTCAGAAATGAATGAAAAGAGAGTAGAATCAGGTATTCCCGATGTTAATGTATTTGAAAGATACGCGAATGTTTTGTTTTTGATTGATGGATTTTTTGGATTTGAAGTTCCATCAAAATTAGCACCAATTCATCAGGTAAATTTTCGAATTTTAAAAAGAAATTTTTATATTATTTATTTATTTATTTATTTATCTATCTATCTATCTATCTATTTATTTATATCAGTTAATCGGACCTATAATGTCAGATACTTATCCACCATTAGCACCAGAAACAGAAAAATTTCTAAAAGAACATCCGCGTACAATGTTCGTAGCACTCGGCACAGTGGTACTTACTTCAAAAAAAACCAATGGAATATTATTGCAATCATTTCTTGAAGCAGTAGAGAATAATGTGGTTGATGGTGTGATTTGGGGATTGTCAAAAGTAAAAGTTGATTCCATACCTGAAACCATAACTTTATCGAGTGGCAAAGTGTTCAACACAACAGATATAATCAACAACAAACATCCAAACATTCAAATTTTATCATTTGCACCACAATTTTCAATTTTGGCACATGACAATTGTAAAGTGTTTTTAAGTCACGTTGGGCAAAGCAGTAGCAATGAAGCAATGTATAACGGTAAGCCTGTATTGGCATTGCCCATTGCTTTTGATCAATATGGAAATGCAGAGAAATTGAAAACGTTTGCTGGAACTGCTTTAACTTTAGACAAAATAGATTTAACTGTTGAAGAAGTTTTAATAAAGATTCAAAGATTGTTGACTGAAGAAAAATTCAAGATAAATGCCGAAAAAATGAAATTATTGGCAAGAATTAACAGTAAAGGAAAATATAAAGCTGCTGATTTGATTGAATTTGCAATCCATTCAAATGAATTAAATCAAAAACTAAACAGCGTCAACAATGATAGGTTAAGTTTAAGTTTAAGAGATGGTCAATATTTAAGTCAATTTATTTCGCCTGACACAAGAATGGGATTTATCAGAGGAAATTATTTCGATGTTTATCTGACTTTGCTTGTAATAACATTAGTCAGTCTTGTAATTAGTATTTTCTTAATTTATAAGTTAGCTCGCTGGATTTATATTAAAGATTTATTCAATCTAGCGAAAAATAAACGGAAAAGTGAATAATTTAAAAAACATTACTTTTTTTTTTATATATATATAATATCTAATTTTTAAAAAACATTACTTTTTTACAAAATAAAATGTCTATTTATTTATTTATTTATTATGTGATGGTATACAGTATATATAAAGTGTATTATTTTTTTTTTTCATTTAATTACTATCCTCGGTCTCCGAATCGAACGTGCTAGGCTATAAGAGTTTTTGGACTTTATTATTAGTTTCGATATTTTATTAATTTTAATTTTAACGTATATTGCGGAGCATTAGCACCATGTAAATAATTTTTAATATTAATATCAATCGGCTAATTTTTAAACGGTCAATTGTTTAACCGCGCTGTTGTAATATAATAATAACAACAACAACAACAACAACAACAATATTATTATTATTATTATTATTATGGTTTATAAATAAGGACATAATGACGGATGTAACAAATATTATATTTTCAAAAAATGATTGTAATAATAATAATAACATATTTTGTGTTTTTATAAATTTTTAAATTTAAATTAGCATTCCAGATTAACCAATCGGATAAAAACCGTTTGAATTTTTTCATTATTTATTACAAAATTCAAACAATGCTTAGCTAAAATAATTCAAAGTTATAAATTTAAACAAAAAGAGGTTATTGTGCGAAAGTATTTAGCCGATTAATGAATCAAGGATGGACCTGGGGTAAGACATGATGAGTGCTTTCGGCGAAGAATATATAAGTATCCAAAATGTTCGATTACAATATATACTGTAAACTTCGACCAATACCTGCTTTACGAGAGTTTTGTGAATGATTATAAATAAAAAAGTGATCTGATCATTGACAACATGTTTATTCACCAACTCATTGACGTTTTCATTCGTAAGAAAAAACTTCTAAATTATTCTTTCCGAGGCAAGTCAACAATTTTTGATTATATCAGATCGGAAAATATATATGTAATCTTATTTTTACAAGTTACCCAAACAATAAAAATGTAGCATGCAACCTTCGCCCACATACATCATACATAATTACCTTCTTTACTCATTTTCATTTGTAATAAAGTATATTTATAAGGCATAAATAATCCAAGATGGCCTAGAAACTTCTCGTTTATTACACATAAAATGATGCAAGCTGCGTAAAAAAATGTATATTAATATTTAAATGTTTTATTTATTTATTTTAAAAATAATTAATATTAAAAAATGCAATCAGTTAATAATTTTAAAAGGAAAAGAATTAATTGATTATATTTTTTTTATCTTTTCAGGCTATGAATGTCAGTTATATTACTAACAATCATTCATTCCCTTTATAAAAAATGTTTACATTCAATCACTAGAATCATAATTTCCCGAATAAATGGATTTTGTTGCGTGTATTCTATTAAACTAGTTGTTAAAATTATGCCTTATGTGTACTAACTATAATTTAAAAATAAATTAATTTTTCTTTACTATTTTATACACTTCGTATTCATCTAACAAATGTACTTTATTGTTCTTATTTTTCAAATTCAAATTTCTCTCATAAAAAGTAGTATAAAAAGTATAAAAACAATAGGGTTCATTATTAATACTAAATAATAATTGTAAATCACCAAAATTTATAGATTTTTCATGAAATTCTATTCTACCTAAAGTAACATTGATATGTTTATTAGTATGAAATATTGCATGATCATAATTTTTGACTCTGCTTAATATTGTTTCATCAAGTTGATTTCCATCAACCCTGAAAATAAAACTTTTACTTGTATGAATATAATATCCATCATCTAGAGACCTTTCTTTTATATTCCAACAAACTGGGTTATAACCCCCCACCAATGTACCCGTTTCTTTAATTCTCATAACCACTACAGTTTGTTCAATATTGTTGCATTTCTTCTCAAAATTTGATCTTGCAAATCCATCTCGAGTACCTTGAAAAATTAATTGAAATTTATAAGGTAATTCATCTTCTTTATTGTCATCTTCTTTATAATCAATCCAATTAGATAATAAAAATTTCATCTCTAAATTTAATAGCTTTCCATTTCCTCCTGGTTTTGAATCTTTTGGGAGAAGTAGTAACGTTGGTTTTGATTCCTTATGACTATAATATTGAAAAAGTTCTTTGTATAATTCTTGATTAAAAACTTTTTTAAACGGTAGAATTTTTTCATAAAAATCTTTTGAAGAAATTTCGTTAAATGTTATTAAAGGAATAATATCCTCCAATATGTTTTTTAGTAAACCAAAATCATTGTCATCCCATTCTGAAATATCTTTTTCTAATAATTTTTTGTTTTGTCCCACTCCCCATTGAATAACATGATCCCAAATTTTAATTACATATAAAGGTATATCACTCCTTTCTAATATAGACTTGAGCATTGTTTTATCAATTTCTTCCATCCCATCGGATTCTAAAAATAATTCTGGGGAATTATAATATAATTCCTCGCAATATTTTTGAAGCAAACCAAATGATTGATGCACTGATATATATTTATGGAAATAAACTAGATTATGTTGTATCCATTCTTTTTCTTCGTGAATTAAATAATATTGTAAACTTACAAATAGTTCACTGAAGAATAATTCATCACATGCTTCAAGAAGCTCTAAAATTTCATTTGGATCCAGATTAACTATATCAATAGTTCCATTATACATGTAACTTTTTAAAATAAAAAAAAGTTTTAATATAACAATTCAATTCAATTATTCAATTATTTAAATCTTAAATAAATTAAGCTTACATTAAAAGAACTTCGAATATTTTTGGAGAAATATTTTCTTTTGAATATGAAATAATACCACCGTTGGTTTTTTTAATCCAGTTGTTTGATAATGCGGTTTTAAAATACAAAGACCTTGCTTTTAAAATATTCGAATGAGCTTTGAAAACTTTAACATCGTCTTCTCCAACTTTGATTTCCATGTCATAAAAGTCTGATTCATTCAATAAATTGGTTAAATCATTTATTAGCTTATCAACATATCTTATTGGCAAGCCATCATTATTATTAGAATATATGGGGTCGTTAAATAAAAGTGCAATATTTTCCAAGCTGCTTGACATTTTTAAAAAAAAAAAAAAAAAAATTAAAAATTCAAAAAACAAATTAAAGTTTGTTTATTCATTATTTAAATTCAAAATTGGATAAAACTCAGTGCGGGGTGATTCCGGTATCACGTTACATGCGCATTAGCATTTTCTGCAGATGGTTTAATGATTTTCTAAGTTTGTATTGAAATTTCAACACTGTATCTCTTTTTGGTCTAATGACGTTTTTTAAACCTGTGACTTATTTATTTATATTATCTAATTTAAAAATCTTCATTTCCATTTCCAAGTCTTTCTCTATAAGAGGAAATATCTATTACAAATATTACAAATAAGGTTATTTTTAATAGTGGTGGTGTACAAGAATGTGTGAAATTTATTAGTTCAGATGGATTTGAATAAAAGATGTAATTTTTATAGAATGTTCGTTATATCATTCGATTCTATTTAATATTGAATTGCTAAGTTGATTTTCATCAATCTTAAAAATAAAAGAACTTTTTCTTTTTTAATCAAATTATTTGATAATGTGGTTTTAAAATACAATGACTTTGCTTTTAAAATATTCGAATGAGCTTTAAAAATTAGTTTCATATCATAAAGTCTGACCTTTCAATGGATTGGTTAAATCATTTACCATCTTATCAATATATCTTATATTGGCAAGGCATCATTATTATTAGAATATATAATGTTGTTAAATGAGGCATTTTACTGTTACACACTAACATAAAAATTTGGAAATTTTTTAACATCTGATCAATTGGATAATTGGTAACAGACATTATTATTATGTGGGCTGTGCAAGGCTCTGAACGAATCGAATCAAATTTTAGAGTGATTCGATTCGTTCTGTAGTCGATTCGGTTCGATTTGATTTGTGACTCAATTCGAATCAATACGAATCAAACCAGATTCCTAAATTTTTCTTAATGTCATATTAAATACAGTGAATCTCAATGTAGTGTACCTCAATTTAATGGATAATAACAGATTGAGGTTTAATAATAATAATAACAATAAAATTCTTCTCAATACAACAGATTTCTTGATATAGTCACGACGGACAGACGGGACGCATAATAATAAGAAAAATTTTATATGTTTTTATATGTGAAGCAAAAATTTTAATTGAAAAAAAAAATCAATCAATTCGCGTCTGTCCTACCAAAAAAACAAACCAATAGGATAAATAATTAATGTGTATGCGTCGATCAAACAACAAACTTCTTTTTTTTAAAGATTTTAAAAATGCCAAAAGAAATAATAAAAGAAGTAAAGGAAAAGATGCCATAGAAGTAAAAGGGTGATAGCAATCATCGCAACTCGTCATCATTCTAAAAGGAATGGTGGGTAGTAGTTGCTATCATTGTAATTCGAGTTTAAAAGAAAGAAATAGTGGTGGCAATAATATACTAAAATTGCTCTTTTTTCTCATTTTAAGATCTATCACCACCACCAGTAGTAGTAGTAGCAGCGGTAATGATAAAGAAAACCAGGTTGATTTTTAAATTCTTTTGATAATGTCTCCTTTCTCTTTTATTTATTAAGTATTTATAGATCATTTCTGATGTGAACAAGATCCAAAGAAACAGTGAAGCTGCTTATGAAGAGTAAGTTTTTTTTCTTGCATTATCAATTATGATTATATTTTTGAAGCAAGCAATTATTTAAATATATCTTCTTCATGTTAATATAATATGTTATGGTGGGGTATCATCGACTTAAGGATAAATGGTGTTTCACCAAACCCAACTATCTAAAGACTAGTGCCGTAATCCAAAAAAGGAAAAAGTATGGTTGCAAAAGTGATCGCAAAGGTAATTGCAACCACTTTTTATATGCTGTAAATACAATTTACTACCATCATCATAATTTACGGCACTAGTCTTTACAACTATCCATCATAAAGTGCTCTCTGAAGAGGAATTCCAAAGTCTAAGAGATAAAGCAGCAAAATCAATTCTTTGACAGCAAATAAAAATAAGCGAATCAACAAAAATGCTATTAGAAGCGATGTTTTTTACAGATAATATCTCTATTAAGGCTCTCGCAGATGAATTTCGAGCGAACGGAATCAGAGGAATTAAATTTTATTTTATTGAAAATGGTAATAATGTTGACAGGAATATTGAAGAAACAATTAATGGATATGACAAAGATACAATTTATGTTGGAAAATGTTTTTTAGACATGTAATTGTTGCATACATATATATGTTTTTTAATTTATTCATGCTTGTGAAATACTAACTAAACATGTTGTTAAAATTTGCAAATTAGCCATTTCTCTGGATTGATAATTATAATACAGTATGTTTCAAAAAAAACGGCGGTTGGTAAAAATATTGTTTTTAATGAAAAAGTAGCCAAAATTATATAATGACAATTATACCAGAGAATCGGAGGATCTTAGATTATAACATATGAAATTTTTGAAGCATATTGTTATGTAGGCTTTAGAGCAATTATTAAGAAATTTACACATTGAATTGTTTTTTTCAAAATAATCAAATTCCTTTTGTTTCCATTTGACAAAATTCTAGAAAATCTTAAAGTACAAAAGTTTATACATAGTAAATTTTTATTATGCAGATCCTTGATTCTTATTCGATGTACATATCTAAACTCGATAAGTCGGACATTTATTTATATTATAAAGTACTTTAAACAGTTGATTACTGCGTCCGACTTATCGAGTTTAGATGTGTACCACACTTGACACAATAATAATAATACTAGTAGAAATTTTTTTTAAATATTACGAAAAATAACATGTACATACATGTATCATTAAAGTACATTTATACAACAATGCCATAAATGAATTTAATCACATGAATATCCTCTTTGGATACTAAACAATTTATTGAAATATATGATCGTACAAAATAAGCTTATCTAATTTTTAAAAAATCAATCCGTGGAATCCTGCCCTCCCCTACTGCAACCTCTACCCCTACCTCTTACCCTATTCCTTTCTCCTTCTTTTGATATTTTTGGTAAAAATTCTGCAAATGTCACAGCTTTTGGCCGTTCTGGTGTGACTCCAGTTGGATATTTAGTTTTAGGTTTCGCGATATGTCGCTTTCCTTCCTTTGCAAACTTCTCAAACATCCTAACCTCCTTAAGAATATTATATCGTAAACATAAGAGCGTTCGAATAAGTCAAGGTACATGTTCTAAGTTATCAGTAGAAGTTGGGATGACGAGAGCTGGAATCGTAAATGGTGAGAATAAGTATAATCCAGGTCCAATAAATATCATTTGGCCAATTTCAACATTATCACCTGAGTAAGTAATATAAATTATATTGTATACTAAAACAAAGAAATGCTTGAACACAAAAACTTACCAAATCCCTGAGCCAAGAAAACCTTCAATGTACTACATACTTCCCACGTTGGCAGTCTTGTTCTTGTCATAAACTTATTGATGGCAAAAACACCCTCATTTATCAATTTCTGCCTATCTTCATTAATTTTATCTGGGTCCGGATTATTGGGACCTTGAGCAAAAACAATGGAATTTGCATGGGTCGCTCAAAAAACTCCAATACACCATCAGCTTTAAAATTATTTTCTTGAACATCTATTTTTGTAGAAATACTTCGCTCACATGAAAAATAATGTAATGAGTCGATAAAACAAAATGTAATGAAAAACAGATATGCTAACACATGAGCTGTCCATGTACGTTCAGGGGTGTATTTCATGGCACCATTCATCTTTATGATAGTATCAAGGTGACTAGAGACGCTCTTAACAATAAACATACATATCAGGCATTTTAGATTGATCATAATATTGTGCTGACATAGGAAAAGTGTTGGATAGGTAGTGATATTTTTCGGGTAAGCCATCCAATTGATGCGTGATTTCCTCCATTTTAGCAATTGATTTGTTAAATTCTTCATTATCTTCTATATTTTTCGTCTCTTCATTATTTTCATTTACAAGATTATTGCCAGCTACTTCATCCACAACTACGTCATCATCAATATCTTCCAAGTTCTCTTCCTCCATAATCTGATCAAACAGCTCTACATATTTACGCGTCTTTTCATTTATGTACATATATCTTCATCGTCCAACGCTAGCCTTTTAAACAACAATTTCAACTCATCCTCATCTAGAAGGCCATGAACCTGATATAATGTATCTTTATCCCCTAAATTGATAACATGATAGTTTGTAGCATCTTGATTGTTCCAGATAGATCTAAGTTTACTATAATATGACGGAAATTCAACCCGGCCGAAAGTGTTGGAGACATCGATCACTGAATTCGCCAAATTTTCATCTGTAATACCTTTTTCAGCCTCTTGCTGTGTGTTGCGCGCACATTTTTCCAGCAGAAAAGGTGTGGTAGACCATTGAGTTTTCTCTTTCAGATCCGACACAACATTTTCATCAAAAACTTCCAACATATTATCTTCGAATCTTCCAATAGTCTTCGAATCTCTTATTGTGGATGGGGTTTCATCCTGGAACATCATGGGAAATGTTTTCCTGCAGTAAATTTGTCATTTGCATTAATTTAGCAATAAATATTTTATTATCTTTTTATTATGGTGTTAAGTTGTTATTAATTTATAACTAGAGTGACGACAAGTGATGGTGATAACCACCACCACCATCCTTCTCAAAACACTTACCCGAAAGAATCTTTGATATCATCATGTCTGTTTCTTCTTTTGTTGTCACGTTTTGGTGGTGGCATTTTAATAAAATTAAAATAAAAGAAGTTTGTGATATGATCGACGCGTACACATTAATTATTTATCCTATTGGTTTTTTTTTTGGTAGGACAGATGCGAATTGATTTTTTTTTTTGGAAAAACAATTTATTTTTTGACAGAGTCTAAGGCAGTGTTGTACATGGGACATGTCCTGGACACTGTCCAAAAATGTCTGCGTAACAATTTGTCATGCGGATGTGTCCGCTCATTTTCTTAAATGTCCCGGACTGTCCGGGACCAGTAGTACAAACCACAAGTTAAAACGTTTTGTAAACATGTGTCACCGATTAAATTTTGGGAGAGCGTATTTTTAATTGGTGATAACAATTATTTTTGTTTTGTGTGGATCGAATGAATAGGGATCAACGAAGTGATTTTTTTATTAGCGAATAATTTTGGGTAAAGAAGATAAAAGTTTTAAATAAAATATTTATTATTTTATTTATTTAGTTTTTC